CAAAGAAAGGTGGTCCAAAAGAATGTGGAAATTATTGAACAATACCATTAATATTACATATAACTAAAATTTTGCTGAAGATAATTCGATTATGGTTCCCGCATTACATCGGCAGGGAACTGCTAGAAATTCAACGTAGATTCAGAAGAGGGTGTGAAACAAGGGATGTTATTGCTGATGTCTGATGGTTTTTGGCTGAAAGCAAAGAATACCAGAAAGATGTTTACCTGTGTTTTACTGACTGTGCAAAGGCATTCAACTGTGTGGATCATAACAAATTACGGATAACATTGAGAAGAATGGGAATTTCAGAACACTTAATTGTGCTCGTGAGGAACCTGTATAGACCAGAAGGCGGTCGTTCGAAGAGAAAAAGGGGATACTGCAGGGTTTAATATCAGGAAAGGTGTCTGTCAGGGTTGTATGTTTTCACTATACTTACTCAATCTGAATGCTGAGCAAATAATCTGAGAAACAGGACTAATGAGAAGAATGCAGCATCAGGATTGGAGGAAGATTCATTAACAACCTGCAGTATGCAGACAACACAACCTCGTTTGCTGAAGGTGAAGAAGACTTGAAGCACTTACTGATGAAGTTCAGACTATACAGCCTTCAGTTTGGATTATATCTCCACATAAAGAAAACAAAAATCCTCACAACTAGACCGATAAATAGCATCATGAGAAATGGAGAAAAGATTGAAGTTGTTAAAGATTTCATTTTACTGGGATCTACAATCAATGCCCACAGAAGCAGCAGTCAAGAAATCAATGATGTATTGCATTGGGCAAATCTGCTGCAAAAGACCTCTTTAAAGTGTTTAAGAGCAAAGATGTCACTCTGAAGACTAAGGTATGTCTAGCCCAACCCATGGTCTTTTCAATATCTTCAAATGCATGTGACAGCTGGCCAATGAATAAGGAAGACCACAGAAGAACTGACGCATTTGAACTGTGGTGCTGGAGAAAAATATTGGATGTACCCACAGATTGCTAGAAGAACAAATCTGTCTTGAAAGAAGGACAGCCAGATTGCCCCTTAGAGGTGAGAATGACCAGACTTCCTCTCATCTACTTTGGTCATGTTGTCAGAAGGGACCAGTCCCTGGAGAAGGATATCATGCTGGGTAAAGCAGAGGATCAGTGAAAAAGAGGAAGACCCTCAAAAAAATAGATTAACACTGGGGCAATGGACTCATACATGGCAACCACTGTGAGGATGGCACAAGTCAGGGCAGTGTTTCATTCCATTGTACAGTGTCACTATGCGAATATTACATTGTTAGCATAATAAAGAATACCTGTTCCATTGGATTTTAAACATGTATTTGTTGTTTTTTATGTGCCATCGAGTCAGACCTGACTCATAGCAACCCCTCCTTGGGTTTCTGAGGCTGTATCACTAAGGAAGTAGATTGCCCAACCTTCCTTCCAAGGAGTGGCTGGTGGATTTGAACTACCAGCCTTCTGGTTAGCAGTCAAGTGCCTTAGGCACTATGCTACCAGAGCTCCTACTTAACATGTATAGGGGTTAGGACTTTAAAACACAAATTTTTGGCAGACACAATTTAATCTATAACAATTGAAACAAAAATCTTACTAAGTCAAAAATAGGAATTGGTTGAAATTATTTGATACATGATTTGCAAACTGGGTGACATTTCCTACTGTAGTGTCAAAAAGACAAATCCAAAGAAGACAAAATCTTCCACAGATTCTTACAAATCAATTTATTGCTAGTAATTACATATTGCCATGGAAAAAGGGTTGGAACAGTGTTTACATATTAACTGGTGGACATGCAAGATTTTCTTGCAGAACAATTCAAATAATTACTGATTTACCCTAAAAAAAAGCTCTAGTCAGACCTTTGGAGTTTCTGTTTCAAAACAGCATAGCTAATTTTTAAGAAGAGCACAACGCCCAAGACAAAATGTTCTTTACTACTTGGCTTAATTAGTAAAGACTATTGTTTGATGTGAAGGTGGCTTGTAGAGAACCAGTTTTCTCAAGGCTTAAGGTTTAAAAATCATCTCAGGGTGATTTCTTGGTTGGGACACCTCAATCTTCATGGATTTCAAGAGAATTAAGAATTTTGCCTCAGTATGACCCAAATACTGAATACACTAAACAATTATTCATTGTTGATTTGAGATCCAAATTTAACTAGACATCCTGCACTTTATCTGCCAACCCCATTCAGGTACCATTAAGATTAGTTTTAGCCCTGGATACTCTCAGACTGGTATGTTGTTCTTCTTTGTGTCTTTAAGGTACCGAATTGTCCCCTTAAGATCTGTTATCATTGATACCAAAGCTGGTCCTTTGCACCAGTGTCCCAGATTGCCATTTTTCTTTCTTCCTTCATGGTCATTTCTGTTCTTCACTGATGCTTCCTCTCTCTACTTTATTGTCTGGCACATTTTCCATATACTCTGCTCTTTTGACCTCTGTTCCATTTTTTCTTCCTGTTGCAGCTTACTGCGGTTTTTAACAACATTGAGTTTAAAGGCACATAAACAAGGATGTGAATTTCAACTTACCTTTCAGTAGTTATGGGAACTTCAGTAAGTTACTTAATGTCCATAAACCTCATTTTGTCTTATAAAATGCAGATACTAATATTTATAGGGCTGCTAGGAGAATTAAATGAGATAATGTGAGCAAAGTACTCAAGAATATTATTATTTTTGTTATCATTAAAAGAGCCTCAGGTTTCAACTACTGACTTGACTATGATGGGTGCCCAGACTTGCATTTCAGGCTCTGCCTGACATTAGTTGCTCTGGTGAACTGCTGAATATAAAGGCTTTTGTACTTTTTGGCTTGGCGTTGACATCACCAAACAGTTAAGAACAGGAACTAAGTATTGAGCTCCTACTATATGCTAGGAACTGTGTAGGCTCTGGAGATCCAAAGATAAATAACATAGCAATCACCTCAAGAAAGTGTTGGAGAGAGAGGATAGCTATAAACTAGAATTACAATAAAGTAAGTAAAATTACTGAGATATGCAAAGTATGACTCAAGTTGCTATGGGACCGGAAAAAAAAAATTAAAGATGCTATGGGACCACAAGACAGATTTAGGTTCCTGGGCAAAGGGAGGTAATAAAATGCGTCAAGTCCGGGATGATATCTGAGCAGAGAATTAAAGATGAGTAGTGGCTACTCAGTAACACATGGGGTTCACCATGAATTGAGTGGTCAACTCGATGGCAGCTAGCTATAAAAATAAAATGAGGGAGCATTGGGAAGGTAGTCTAGATATAGTGAAAAACATGAAGAAAGGAATAGGAGCATAAAACTACATGGAGTATGTAGGGAAACTCCACATAGTTCAGTATATTACAGTATAAATTATAAAGTGAGGAAAGACTATTGAACATATTACTCTCCTTTGGTCATCTGTTTTGGGTCCCAAATTGTTACTTCTCATCGTTGTGGGTTTCATGTATTTGCTCCTCTATTTTTATTGTTGCTTTTGTTTGTATAGATTTTTGGTCATTTTCAGTTTTCATACCTATCCAAGGTGCCAAAGTGCATGTTAACGTTTCATAATTATAAGTGCTTCCACTTCTCATCATTTTAAAGCTTTCTGAACAAACTGAAAGATGTTTCTTTTCTCTAAAAAAATGCAACTATGTCATATTTTTCCTTTAATATCTTTCTTTCTCCTTACAACCACACATACCGAACACCTACGTTTTGAATGAGTTAATATACATATAACTCTTAGAATAGTGCTAGCTATTATTGTCTGCTCAGGAGCTCAGTTGGTGCAGTATTTAAGGCTTGCCTGCTAACTAGAAGGTAGGAGGTTCAAACCCACCAGCTGCTCCATGGAAAGATGGGGCCATAATGATTTACAGCCTTGGAAACCCAATGGAGGAGGCTATGAGTCAGAATCGAATCCATAGCAGAAAGTTGGGTTTTGAGTTTATTATTACGTGCCAGGCACACTGTAGTTTAAAAAAATTTGGACAAATATTAAGTTCTACAATATATCCTGCTATTCTAGAACAGTTTGAAGATCACTTCAAATTACAAAAACTTTTAAAGCCAGTGAGTCTACTACCTACTCTCTACCCTACTACACATTTTCTCTCTCTCTCTGATCTCTTTTTTCCTTTTTATTTATTTAATAGAAAATAATTTCTAAGTGTTCCCTCCCCTCCCCTCTGCTGTCTCTTGCAAATAGCTTAAATTATTTGTAATATAAACAGACATAGGCTGTTATATTAAGAAGGGAATAATCCTGCTCTACGTTTTGACGATCAAACTGCACCTAAAGTATTAATTTCAGCCTGTCCATCACCTGTCTAGCCTGCAGTGGTTGGAGGGTTTCTCACAAAGATACTGGAAGGCCTTTTAAAGGTAATGTATAAGGGATCCATGCAGCCCGGAAGGAATCAGTCCCTCATACCCTAAGATCATCTGGCTACAGCTCTCTATTTTTGTTCTCAAGGCTTTGTTCAGCCTCAAGGTGGTCTGTCAGGGTGGGAGAAGTGGCCATTTCCAACTGAACAATCGTGCTGCCAGACTACCGTAGAGGTCACGGTCTCCATTGGCAGCCTGCGCCAGGATCAATCCTGTCTGTTTTCAATGCCAGTAAGAGGCATTTTTAGAACAGGGTCTGTTTGTTACCTGGCCCCGCCTCCTTACTCCCTCTCAAGATCCTTTGCCCCAAAGGACTTTGCCCTTTCTTTCGCAGTTGGGAACTTCAGTCACCCTCCGCTACCGCACAAACCCGCAGAGGCTGGTGGCGGGAGCCCAGCGGTCTACCTTGTTCCCTACGAACGGGTCCAGCAAAAGCCAGTGCCCTCGGTGGTGACGCGACTGTGAAGCGCGAACTGGGAGCTACCAGCAGAGCATCCCAAGTGCCTCTACTTCCGGACGGAGCTGACGAGTGCCGAGCTGGAACCGCCAGACAGGAGCCGGGAACGCCGTTTGCCCGGGCCGAGGCGGAAGCCGGAGCATTTGGGGGACGGGACCGCGGGAACCCGGAAACGCCTGCACCGCGCGAGTCTGGCGGCAGCTAAGACAGCGGTAGCCGGCGGCACTGCAAATCAGCGGTCGCGTGGGAACCCGCAGGCTCTGCAGCCTGGGGCTCCGGGAGGAGCTGAACCGCGGCCCCTAGTGCGCGTAGCCTGGCCAGCTGCGCAGGAGGTGAGTTCCAGACGCTCCTGGTATGAGGCCAGTTCCGGGACGCTGACGACTGCAGCAGCGTTGGAGGCTCTTAAGGAAACTCTGGCAGCTCCCGGAGGAGGAGGAGGAGGGAAGCGGGGGAGCTGATATAAAGTCTTAGGTGAAAGTATCAGCTACTTAGGGGTGGGAGCAGATAAGGTGACGTGTTGTAATTCTGAGGAACGAGGTGTGGAATGTGCTAGGTGGAGGAGGAAAAGGCCTGAGGAAAGGGGTGTGTCAAGCGAATGAAAACGGCTGTGTGTGCCTTAGAGCCCGGGGCTTAACAAGCAAAAGGACCAAACAGGCGGTCAGTCATTCCTTCCGTGAAGTCCCCGCGAATTCCTGCTCGTTGTGTAGCCCTGTGGTAGGCATGGATTCACCAGGCCAGGAGGACCATGGGCTCAAGGAGCCACAGGGATTTCAAGAAATGAAAAGGCTGTCCTTGGTAAGGATAAATTCGGAGGCAAGGGCTGTCTGAGGCCATGTGGGAGTTCCTTCAGAACAGGTGTGTATGTGTAGGAGAAAGGTTCTGAGTGTTGAGAGAAGGATTTTTTTTTTTTCTGTATTAACAATGTCATCATTAAGTAAAATAAATGTTTTAAAATTCCATTTATTATCTCATTCTTTTAAATTTCCATTTTTGTGTATGTTTTACAAAGTACATAGTTTATTGGTTTGTTATGCAGTGTATATAATTTATAAACATGTGCATGCATTAGGGCTACTGAAAAAAAAAAAAAACAAACTTTTAACTGTGGGACATATAATAAAAGGAGCTCTTGTGGCCTAGTGCCTAACGCATTTGACTCCTAACCAGAAGGCTGGCGGTTCAAACCCACTAGGCACTCCTCCGAAGAAAGATTGGACAATCTACTTCCGTAGAGTGCTACAGCCTCGGAAACCTAAGGAGGGGTCGCTATGAGTCGGGTCCGACTTGATGGCACAGTTTGGTTTTTTTGGTTTGATGTAATAAAAAGTACCCTGGTGGTGTGGTGATTAAGCGATCGTCTGCTAATTGAAATATCAGTGGTTTGAACCGACTGGAACCCACCAGCCGTTCGTTGCAGGAGAGAAAAGATCTGGCAGTTTGCTCCACTAAACATTACAGCCTAGGAAACTCTGGGACAGTTGTGCTTTGCCCTATAGGGTCGCTGTGAGTCAGAATCTGCATGACAGCATTCAACAACAACATACACTAAAAATATTTGATTATCACTATTTAGCAAGGATTCTTAAACTGGGGGTCATGGAATAAGAGGCTTTGAGGCTTCTATGAATACTTTGAAATTATGTACAAATTTTACATACAAAATTTTGTTAGTTTGTGCATTTCTCTGAAGAGGCTCTGTAGCTTTCAGCACATTCCCAAAAAGGGTCCATGACCTCCCGCAAAGGTTAAGAACCTCTGTTATGGAGGACTGAGACCTCAGTAACTCCATTCATCGAATCTCACCCTCTTGCCAGCTTTAATGGATATATCTGATGTCGTTACTCAAGCCCACAGTGTGACTGGATTTGCAGTCTCTTTTTCCATTTTGCAGTGGATGCATTTGCAGTACCTTTGGTCTTTACATGTGTTTGAGCTCTATTTGTTACACAGTTAGCTGGCTCTTCCTCATTTTACCGCTTATATATATAGCTTCCCACCTCTTTCCTGAGGGAAAGAGGATTTTAATTAGCATATTTATTAAATCACTAAACATATCTCAGAGGAAAGATGGGGCAATCTACTTCCATAGTGATACTGCCTTGGAAACCCAAGGAGGGGTCGCTGTGAGTTGGGTCCAACTGGATGGCAAATAACAACAACAACAAACATATCTCAGTACAGGAACATTGGTGCAAATGAATTAAAGAATAGTATTAACTGTAGTATTTGGCCTTGCTTTTCATTTCACTACTATATAGTAATAGACTGAATTTTTCATTTTTTATAAAATGCATTATTTGAAAATGGAACCAGAGTTTTTTGTTTTTAGAATCAGCATTCAGCTTTCATAGTTAAAGATGAAATTTGGTACAGTTTCTAGGTGCTCTTTCTTTCACTGGTAAACTTGTTATGTCTTTAAAAGGATGACTTCTAAATTTACGTTCTGGTCCTAACTTCCCTTCTGAGTATTGATTATACTTCTTCAGCATCTCAAATTTAGCTGTTCCCTTTTTCATTCTCACTATCTCTGTGCTAAATCTGACTCTTTTTTCCTCTTCTCATTTGCACTATAGCAGTACCTAACTGTACTTGCTGCCCTTTTCCAGATTTGCCTGTCACGCTTCCAGTCACTCCCCTCCACACAGATTTTTAAAGCTAGAAGAGTCTTATGTCACTCTTTGGTTACTTTCTTCAAAGGCATTCACTGATTCTCTGTTGGCTCCAGAATAAATTTATTTAGGGCAGGATTCAAAACCAAACCAAAATTTGGGGTTCTCCAGGGCTCCAATCGAGGAGTCAGCCGCAGGGACCCAGGTGAGGAGAGGGAACCAGGCCACGTGCCACAAGCAGTGAGGCGGGAAGGCAGGGAGAGGACAGAAAAGGCAAAAGGGACTGGAACAGATTGAACCGAAGATTTCAAAGAGCAGCCCGAGAAGACAAAGCCAATTACTATAATGAAATGTGCAAAGACCTGGAGTTAGAAAACCAAAAGGGAAGAACATGCTCTGCATTTCTCAAGCTGAAAGAATTGAGGAAAAAATTTAAGCCTTGAGTTGCAATATTGAAAGATTCTAAGGGCAAAATATTGAATGATGCAGGGAACATCAAAATAAGATGGAAGGAATATACAGAGTCACTGTACCAAAAAGAACTGGTCGATCTTCATCCATTTCAGGAGGTGGCATATGATCTAGAACCAATGATACTGAAGGAGGAGGTTGAAGCTGCAATGAAAGAATTGGCAAAGAACAAGGCTCCGGGAATTGACGGAATACCCATTGAGATATTTCAACAAACGGATGCTGCACTGGAGGCACTCACTCGGTTATGCCAAGAGATTTGGAAGACAGCTACCTGGCCAACTGACTGGAAGAGATCCATATTTGTACCCATTCCAAAGAAAAGTGATCCCACAGATTGTGGAAATTATTGAACAATATCATTAATATCACACACAAGTAAGATCTTACTGAAAATAATTCAAAAACGGTTACAGCAGTATATTGACAGAGAACTTCCAGAGGTACAAGCTGGACTCAGAAGAGGACGTGTAACAAGGGATATCATAGCTGCTGTCAGGTGGATCTTGGTTCAAGGCAAAGAATACCAGAAAGATGTGTACTTGTGTTTTATTGACTATGCGAAGGCATTTGATTGTGTGGATCATGACAAATTATGGATAACATTGAGAAGAATGGGAATTCCTGAACACTTAATTGTACTCATGAGGAATCTGTACCTTGACCAGGAGGCTGTCGTTTGAACAGAACAAGGGGACACTACATGGTTTAAAATCAAGAAGGGAGTGCATCAGGGTTGTATCCTTTCCCCATACTTATTCAATCTATATGCTGAGCAGCTGGACTATATGAAGGAAAACATGGTATCAGGATTGGAGGAAGAATCATTAGTAACCTGAGATATGCAGATGATAAACTTTGCTTGCCGAAAGTGAGGATGACTTGAGGCACTTACTGATGAAGATTGAAGAACACAGTCTGCAGTATGGATTACATCTCAATATAAAGAAGACAAAAATCCTCACAACTGGACCAATGAGCAGCATCACAATAAATGGAGAAAAGATTGAGGTTGTCAGAGAATTCACGTTGCTTGGTTCTACAGTTGACACCAATGGAAGCAGCAGTCAGAACATTAGATGACGTGTAGCACTGGACAGGTCAGCTGTGAAGGAACTGTTTCAAGTCCTGAGGAGCAAGGATGTCTCCTTGAGGACTGAGGTGCACCTGACACAGGCCATGATATTTCCATTTGCCTCACATGCATGTGAGAGCTGGCCAGTGAATAAGGAAGACCGAAGAAGAGTTGATGCTTTTGAGTTGTGCTGGCAAAGAATGCTGAAGGTACCATATACTGCTAAAAGAACTAACAGATCTGTCCTGGAGGAAGTGCAGCCGAGATGCTCCTTGGAAGCATCCTTGGAGACTTCATCTCACCTACTTTGGTCATGTTGTCAGAGGGGACCATTCCCTGGAGAAGGATGTCATGCTTGGTAAGGTGGAGGGAGGGCCAATGAAAGAGAGGAAGGCCTTCAACAAGATGGATTGACACTGAGGCTGCAGCAATGGGCTCAAGTATAGCAAGGATCATGGAGGAGGTGCGGGATCAGGCGGTATTTTGTTCTGCTGTGCATGGGGTCACTATGAGTTGGAAATGACTCAATGGCACCTAACAACAACAACAGGGCTCCAATGAAATTAATACATCCCTTTCATTCTTTCTTTTAATTTTTTTGTTTTGCTGATATTACTTTGGGAGCTCTGGTGGCATATGCCTAAGGCATTTCACTGGTAACCAGGATGGCTGGGCAATCTACTTCCGTAGAGATACTGCCTTGGAAACCCAAGGAGGTCACTATGAGTTGGATCCAACTCGACAGCAGTGAGTGAATTATATTACTTTATCCCACTTATCTTATATTTTAGCCAAACTAGTGTAGTTACTTTGAAGTGCAGTTTTTGAACATGCTCTGTGCCTAGCTGCCATAGTCTTTGTCATCCTTTTTCCTCCAAGGAAGGCTTTCCTTATTGTGTTTGTAGAAATTTCTGCCAGTGGTAGTTAAACTTATGTGTCATGTTGGCCGGGCCCAGTTTTGAGTGGCTGGACAGCTGGATGTAGTTACTTAACATGATGAGACTGGTAATCAACTCCATGGTAGAATCTGCTGGAACAGCTGAGTAGCTACCCGAGGGATGTAGTGCATTGGAAGAATCAGTATGTAAGAAGAAGCATTAAAAAATGTCTCTGCAGCTTTTTGGGATGCTTGGACCCTGGATGTAGCTGAGTCATCATTCAGCAGCCTGCCATGTTA